CTAGTTTAATCGAATTGTCAATCTTGCAATTTATAATAATGGGGCTAATAAAACAGTCTTGAACATAACTTTTAAGTTTTTTGATTTGTCCCTCGGATTTCAGTCTAAGCAATTCTTTTTTACTTGAGCATAGTAAATGTACAGGTACTCTTCTCCACTTAAGTTGAATTGGTTTGATGGGTTCGTGAAAGAGAAATATTTTTAATTGATTCTTGATTTTTTTATTTGAAAAAATGTTTTTATCTTCGTAGAAAACTCTTTCTGTCTCGTTTTTTGTGAAGGGTTGAATAGAATTAACTGAATTCCTAGGTTTTTGGGAGATGTGATAAGGGCAACTCTTCTGAGCGACTTCAACTCCCACCTTTGGCAAATTGTTCTTTCACAATTTTTTTTCTGTAGTCGTCTGTTAAGGAGACAGGTCAGCTTTTGTTGTATCATCCGTTGGAGAATATGGGGATTATGATTTTGCCGATGATATTGATGGCAGTGTCTGTAAATCCAAAATACAAACCCTTCGTTCTTTGATCCACTGGAAACATTACGATGTAGCAGTTTCTTAACTTTGGTTAGTGTTTAACATTCGTCTTCAGGATCCTGACTGGGCTCGCGGAGTCTACCCGGATGTTAAGCAAACATGATTATCAATTTTCAAGGCAATATTCAGCAGTTTTTGCAATTCCTTTACATTTCAATCAAAAATAGTGGTTTCGTTAAGTGTTAAAAAGGTTTCATTGTCAATTTGACCTCCTTCGGACCACACATTAATGACACCACAGAATTCTCTATATACGAGATCGATGTTTACACCAGTGACATCCGACGGATGTTCTTCCTGTGCTATGTACAACATTTTGTCTCTTTACAATTTTTACATTTTTACGTATTGATTTACAGTTTTTAGTGAAATGTTATTTTTAATTAGAGTGGTGATAGGTAGCATCTTTAGCTGGGCAGACAGGTAAATGGCATTTTGAAAAAAAAAATTCATGTACATTTTTACAGATTCTGTACAATTAATTCTAGATGAAAACGAGACTTTTTTCCTGTCGTTCCGGTGGAGTTGTTCTAGTGAAGCGCCGAGTCCACTGTGAAGCCTCTGATTTAAACCTTGTTAGGAGTTTTACGTCAAAATAAGTGTTTTCGGTTAGATTTATAATTTTTTAATTGATATTTTGGAATGCGATAGTGTGGTTTTCGCTCTATGGGAACATTGATTCTCTTTTCATTAAAAGTCTCGAGGGGCTGCCCAAAGTTGTGAGGTTGGAACAAGTTTTATGTATTGGTTTAAGAACCGGAAAGATCGTTTCGATTCACAGTTAATTTCACATTTCGGTTTACAGTTTTTAGTGAAATGCCCTTTATATTCACAGTTTTGACAGGTAGCGTCTTCAGCTGGTCAGACAGGTAAATGGCCTTTTGTAAAGTTTTCCCTCTATTTTAAACATAAGCTACCTCTTTCAATGGCTAGAGTTGGTTCCCGTTTAACATTAACGTTTCTTCTATTGCTATTATGTACAAAATTTCCCGAATTTTAAAAACTGGTTGTTCAATCTAGATGGTTTCTTATTCCCTTTTCGCTCATTCCTAACACTAGCTACATTTAAGGCATTCATTGGAGTTAGAGTTTTGGCAATTTTTTTTCTGAATATCGTAGTTTTTCAGATTAATTATGAAAAACTGTTCCCAAAAATGTTGTAGATTTTTTCTCCATCTTTTTTTTTCCTGTTTAGGAGTTTGTCCATTTCAAACGTTATGTATGTTGTTCTGATAAAAAATGTGGCGTGAAAATCTAATATATGAAATGTGAAGGCTTTCATTTTTCGTGATATTTTGGCTACAAATTCTTTTACTTTCTGCTCCGAGGGATAAATACAGTAGCGATCTGAGCTTTTTGTCTGCCTCTTCTTGTCTCATTCACTTAAGTTCTTGAGTTATGCTTTTTGAGAGGCACTTTGTTCATCGTTGAAACGTCTATGTTCCGCTAGATTCGGACTTTCTTTGCTTGTTTCCTTGGCTTCCGGGGTATTTTCTAGAGCAGGCTGAGTCGTAGGAATTCAATCCACGGGATCTAGCAGCAAGTCAATGTCGATGTTCTTTTCAGCTATGACTGCTAATTGGAACAGATCTCATCAATCTTTTCAGGGACTTGGGGGTCAATTGAGTGATTCTGCCAGAATTATGGTATTCCGCTGACGCCTACTTCGTTAGTGCTAGGCTGCAACATGATAAATTAATCTAATGCTATAAATAATCCTATTCAAAAAATTAAAAGAACTTAAAAGAAGTTAAAACAGTGAATTACTGAATCATTAAAACGATGGTTAAAAAGTTAGCGAAGGAGTGAACATAAAGAGTGAAGGTCAACTAAGACCTGTCTTTAAAATGCTTAAACAACTCTAATCTAAATTCAGATCGCAACCATCTTTGCTATGTTTTAACAATGTTTCTTTTTCTGTAGACAGTTGAATCACCTAATAGATTGCGGTACTAGATGTTTTTTTTCGAAATTTGAGCTCTAACAAATATTTTCTTAGTCATTCGAAAGTCGTCACTAATGAGAAAAACAAACAAAAAATCTGCGAATGGTTAAACAGAAAAAGAACAGTGATTCTCCGTAAACAGCTCAATAGCGCGTTTTTTTGTTTTTCTGATTTTTTTGGACGAATAAATTGTCCTAAGACAAAAATAAATTGTATTGTCAGGAGGTATCAATCAGCGGCACTTTCCTCCAAACTATTTCTGCAACTTGTAGCATGCATGCTAAATGATTGCACTTCAAAACACCGTCAAAAATGTTCAAACTTACTCGACAATTTTATTTTTAAGTACGATCGTATGGCTGATCAGTTTGAAATGGGGGGGGGGGGGGGGGCGTTCAACAGTACCGAAGTACAACTTGTCGAAACTGAAAAAGCGTTCAAGTGCCGAAACTTAATGATTTTCGGGACTGTTGAACAATAAATTTATTTCCGGCACTCTAAGGGCATCACAACAGTGCCGAAGTACAACAGTGCCGAAAATAAATTTAATGTTAAACAGTGCCGAAAATCAACAGTTTTACTTTTACACTTACACTTTTAGACTTTTAGACTGTTGAACACTTTTATATTTTGGCACTGTTGTACTTCGGCACTGTTTTACAGCCCCATTTGAAATGCTGTCTTTAATAAAAGCGCCAAATAAAAAAGAGAAAAATTATAGATTTTTCAAAAAAAAATGTTTTCGACCCTCTTTTTTTTCCTTTTTTTTTCTGAAAAAACGAGAATTTCTCTTTTACCTCTGATTTGTTGGCGCTTATGGCTTTTATAAAAATCATAGCACTGAGGTTAAGAAAATAATTGCGCTAAAATTTGAAGATTTTGGCGGGCAAATCCCTCTTACTAATTAATCCTTTAGCGCCCAAAAAGTCTTCATTTGGCGCTTGTTTAGGATCTACTAAACAATCCCCCCTTTTCAAGAAGGGGGGATTATTTAGTAGATACAATAGGGGGGGGGGGGAGATTGTTAAGTAGATCCCTTGTTTAAATTACTGTTTACACGCCTGAATTTTGTTAACATTAATTTTATTATTTTAACGTTGCTTTTTTAACGTGTCAATAGTAATAATGGTAAAAATAAATTCAATATAAGATCAAAACTTTCAAAAACTGTTTAAAAAACTTCATTTTTGGCCTGTTTGGTAAGAAATTTACCTGCGCGCAAAAAATTTATTCGTCACAGTATCGCTCTATGCTTTTTAATGAAAAATTGGCTAATCAGTTTGGTCGACCTAAAAGAAAGTTTGAGTTTTCAACAAGAGGATAGCAATTGCGATTTGGTCCACCGGATCTACTTAACAATTGCCACCCCTTTTAATAAAAGCAGTAAATTAGCGCTGGAGCTTTGTATTGCTACTGCAATTTTGCGGCAATCTGATTGCTCCAAATTGCGTTATATTTTTCTACTTAACAATTGCCCCCCCCCCCCTTTCTTAAAAGGGGGGTAATTTTTAAGTAGATCAGTTTCACCAAAACCCACAGTAGCATCGCGAAATTCATGAATCCGTTCATTCAAGTCGTCAGTATGAACTTTTCACTACCCATATCACGCGGAAAATGATATGTAATAAATTCATGACTTGAATACGCCTTAAATTCAATGACGTTTTATTTCTAGAATATTCGGTCCTTTGGGTGGCCAGTCTATATAAGCAGAATGGTCAAAGAGCAGAATGGGTCCAACAGCAGAAAAATAGAAAACATCAACTTTTATGAGCTGATCGGTAAATGAATTATAATAATAGTCAATATTACCAAATAAACTAATAATTTAAGCATAATTTGACTAATTTAATCAAGATTTTTAGAAAAATTCAATGAAGAAATTATTCAATTCATGAGTAAATCATTCATTCTCTTGGTATTATAGATGATTCTGAGAATTTTTTTATCAATTTGCCCATATTAATCAGTAAAAGTTGATATTTTTCTATTTTTCTGCTCTTGGACCTATTCTGCTCTTAGACCATTCTGCTTATTGCTCCGCCTTCGGTCCGCTTCTTACAAATATGGACTTCAAGCCGAAAATTTTCTCTCTAAGTCATGAAATATGATTAATTTGGAATTTTTTTTTGAAGAATTTCTCAATTTCATGATCTTTATTCGGTACTTATTAGCGTCTTCATCGATTTTAAGCCTCCAAATGATGTTTAGGGAAGTTGAAAAACAAAACACGGTTGAAGGTAACTTTCTTGTTTATAATTTATGCATTTCAAAAACCGGCTGATATTTTTAACGGATGCCAATCTCAAGTGATTCATGGTCATAAATAACGCTTATTATGGAGTAAAATAGCCTACGATTTTGACAAGCAACGTTTTACATATGAAAAAATAATGATTTGAGGCGCTTGTAAAGTTTAATTTTCGGCCTGAAGTCCCTTCGGCTTGAAGTCCCGTCGGCTTGTTGTCCTAGACCCCAAACATGGCGACATAGTTAAACGATTGATTGCCTGGCTAGCAACAGTACAACAGAATCGTCAAATCAAATCACGTGTGATATAGCTGTTAGTTAAAGCTATAGACTTAAGTCCATGTCGAACAATACATTTAAAATACATTTTAACACAGTTAAATTGTCTTTCAAGCTGGTTTTGCTGGCAGCTGCTGTCAGCTTCACTGTTTCTTCGCGGGGTTCCAAATTTGCAAACGATTCTGCGCCGACTGTGGAGCAGGGCTCACTGCATGGTGGGGGTTCCCGGAAGTCCTATCACATCCTCATGGTCACCATGTGCATGCGGGGCCACTTCAACCCTTCTGCAGGTCTTGAAAAAATTTAAATTATCCCGTCGAACTTTTAATATGCAACCTCAACAGTTTTATAACTTAAGACCAAAGTCCGCCGAAAATGGTTCACAGGAGATCGAACCAGGGGGTTTTAAGATTTGCCGGGCAACCCCGTTCCCCTCCGGGATTCGCGAAAATGGTCGGAACAAGAAAAAATTGATTTTATTCAATCTAAAACGTATTTATTGCTACTAATACAAAAGCAATAAATCATTTTTTGTTATCGATCAGTTGTTATCGATAAATCAATTTTTATCGATCTTTTTGTTAGGCCGTGCATTCATAACGTACATCAGAATGTGAACAAGGCAGAAAATGTTGCTCGAAACGAAGCGAAAACAAATTATGGCATTTACATTCACTTTTAAATTCGAGCAAAAAAAATGGATTATAAAGAATTTATACTCCGTTTCGTTGTCTTTGGGCGATAGAGGATTATATTAATTTGACGGCTTTTTAGACCAGTAACCGATTCGGAAGGAGGGGGGGGGGGGGCTGAACTGACGCCTTCTCTCAGGGATTCGACCCCCTGACTCGAACTACCAAAGGGCTACACTTTGGTACTATATGACAACCATTTTATGGCCGACCAACCGGGCGCGGATCTTGGATTTTTCTGAGGGAGGGGGAGGGAGGCAGAACTTTGAAAAAAATACTAGATTGCATAATTCAAAAATCAACAAAAATTAAGCAAATTTATGCAACAGTAGTGATTTTTGGCGTCAAATCTGTCTATGACATCATGAACATTTTCTTCACACTCTATTTTTTCACACCTCATAAAAGCTTTTCACTTTTGGAAAAGTTTAGAAAAAAGTTCAAAGAGGGGAGCAGGGGCAGATCTAGGATTTTCTCGAGATAAGAGAGTTTTCAAAAAAAATCGAAAACTTTCTCGACCTTTTTTTAGGTCGACCAAATTGACTTTCTGAGCTCTACCAAATCACTATTAAGACCCCATTTTGACACCAAGTTTTCTGCGCGGTAGGCAAAAGCTAGAAAAAAAACAGACCAAAAATTTTAGGGTCAGTTATCCAAAAACGCATATCTCAAAATAGTACAAATAGGGCACCCTTTGGGTCGGCAGAGGGTCGAATGACTGAAAAGAAAGCTTCTGCCCCCGCCCAACCACCCTCTCTTAATCCGCTGGTGCGACCAACCCCAAAATTTGGTGCCAATATATACTAATTTGTTTTCTCAGACAAAAATTTCTGGCCAATTGATACCAATAATTTTCCTAAAAGCGCCTCTGGCGCCAGTACATACTAAAATTTTCCACAAAAAACGGAAAACGTCATTTCGGACTTTCGGTGCTGAACGTTTGATCGAAATAGGGTCTTATAAGTGTTTTGAGAGAGCTCAGAAAACTCAAAAACTTCTAAGCGCCTTTAAAAACATTGACCGGGTTGCCCACCATAGAAGATAATGCACAACCATACACATCCATGCATGATTTGTATGGAAAATGACTGATCATGCGTAGCACATAAATTTGTTTCTAAAACCCTCAAAATAGCTTTTTAACGGATTAAATTAGTAATAAAACGGTTTCTCATCATTATGCAAGCCGTTGGAAAGATATGAAAATCTTTCACCTTACGTATGGAAGAGATTTTTCACACAGTTATTTTTTCTCTGGAAAACCGTAAAAACAAGCTCCTTGACAAAAATGACTGAGAAAACGTATCCTTAATACACGATACGGTTTTATTAGATTTTGATTTTTTTCACCATGCAAACCATACGCCGCACTATAGATGCTGCTATTTATGGAAACGATGTTTCCATACAGAAACAACTTTAATAGAGCATTCGAAATCACAACAAGCATGAAATGACTAGATTTTCGAAATCCGCGTGGCCTTAAAATTATTCTTAGCCTTTCTAAGCGTAGTCCGTTTCTCTTATTTGCCCACATTCCGAACTGAGTTATTTTGATGCGCATAGCTCTTTTTATTGTGATTCAAGGCCGTTTTTTTTGCGTCCAGAACTTTCACGGGTGCGACTATTGCAGCCATAGGCAGTAGGCTGGGTAGACCTGAAGCTAGAGGTCAAGTGCGCGCTCGTCCTCACATACAATGATTGCCATGGCAGGGGATCGATTAAACGATCTCACAACCTCGAAGTGAACGCCTTACCACTATGCTAAAGGCCTCTCAGCTCTGCCACCGCTTTAGGCTGCAAAAATCAATTATAATTGATTAATCAACTATAATGGATTTTTGTGGTCTAAAATGTCCTCAATTAATTCGTCAATTTATATTTTCTCAGTTACGTGTTCTGCGGATTTGTACCTAGTGACAAACTTGCTCGCCCTTTTTGTAACAGGGGGCTGGTAAAAGAGATCCCAGATATTTTCTGGTATGCGGCCAAAAATTATCGAATTGTCGATTGAGCTTCTGTTTTTATTGTATTGGATATCCAGATTTTCTTTCGCTGGAACTTATTTCAAGCAATCCAATTCGAGCATTATGATCCAATTTTCAACATATGAACGAAATCTGTTTTGGGTCGTGATACAGAAAGAGCCGAGATCTCATTAGTAGCAGTGGTAACTTTATTTCAGGTCAATACCGAGCACTAGTAGACAAAGGTCACAGAGTGTCCGTCTTCACAACGGACTCTTGTCCCGAGCAGATAATCCAAGACATGCCAGGTGCATTCGAAGTGCATGAAACCACAGTAATGCCGACCATTGTACCGCTGAATGTTCTGGAAGCTCTGATGACGCTTCCAAGTTACCTTCGTGAAGATGGGATAATTAAAGCATACGAAGAGCTGGATAAGTTTCTAGAAAAGTCTCCTCACAATTATGACATTGTGATTGGCGACTCGCTTGTCGGCGGTCCTATTTTGGCGGCCAGAAAACACGGAATTCCGAATGTGAATTTGTTCACGTCTCCGCTTCTGGAAACTGCCAGAACACACCCTTCAATTTGGGACAGAAACGAACTGCCGATCGAGGAGCCCGGGGTAAGCACACAAATCGAGAAATAATTTGCCCGTAACTCGACAAATATAATCTCGCCTTCTTTTTTATGTTGATTTTTTTTTCGGGTCAATCAATCGCAATACGAAAAAAAAGCATTCCCTCAAACATTGCATTTCGCGGTTAGTACGTTGAAGTAAAGAAGTATTTACTCAATTTATTGCAAAGAAACATCCAAAAACTGTTCAGGTGGTGTTTTAAAAATAAGAAACAGCAAAAAGAATCAAGTTGAATTTGATGACTATCGCAAATATGTCGCCACTTGGAACAAATATGTCGCCACTTTTCTGTTTGCGCAGTTTCGTTGCATCTAAAACCACTGTCAACGTGAAGATTTCTACGAGAGAGGTAGCAGCTTGCAATAGAGAAATCTGACTATTTCAAAGGGTTCAATTTTTCAATTTGATTAGGTTATTCATACAATATACTTTAGAAAGAACAAAAAGACATTATCTGACAAAATGGTGAATTCCCATGAATCCCAATATTCATAGCTCCCAAAATAAAAAAAATCAGTCGCATAAGTCCCAAAATTTATCTTCTTGAATTATGATTGGTTGAAATTTGAGCCAACGAATTTATGGATTGATTGTTTACTGTTCAACCAGCATAAACTCAAGCTGCAGAATAGTGACCGCCGCAGCCGCGCCAACGTGTTGCGAGCTTGCCACCAAAGTGTAGGACTCTATACGAAATTCAAAGCCGGTTACGTTTTAATCATATCATCTGTCTGCTTTGCTTTTTTACTATTATCAAATTCTTATAGTTTGCTGACATTTGAAGACATTTTGTGCATGTGCCATTGCCCATACCATGCAGAACAGTTCCAACACAACGGTTGAAGACTTCAATCTGTGGATATACAAGACCTTGAAGCGAATGTAATTGCCATCTAATCGTTTCGATGGAATTGTTCTGAGGTGACTCTCAAACTGTTGAGTGACGCGTTTGTTCTTAGGCTTGTTTTTCTAGAGGTCCTGTTTTTCGGAAGATGATTTGGTACGACTGCTCTGATAAAACTTTTGAAAACTAGTTAGGAATTTAGCTGAGACTAAAATTCGGAGAAGTTTTGAACGATTCAAGTAAAGTGTGTTTCAAAGATCCGAAAAATGATTTTTAGTGTGGATACTTGCTTTGAATTGGCTAAATTTTTATTGGCACTCGGTTTGCTCTTCGTCAGTTTTGTTCTTGAAAACCATTTTTAGATACCTAACGATTCAATTTTTTCTGAAGAAACAGAGTTTTTTTTTTAATTTTGCTGTTTTTTTTCTAGAAAATTGGTAGGGTTTGTAAGACTGTTTTCGTTTTCAAAAAACCTTTCCTTGAACTCAACCAAAAAATCATAAAAGTATCAGTTTGTAGTTGAATGTCTTCTGAACAGGAGTCCATTTCTTATTGAATTTGCTTGGGCATACCTTCAACGGCCACTACACTTTAAATGCATTGATTTTTTGCCGTTGTGCAATAATGAAATTGAGTATTTGCGTTTTCAAGAAATAATTACTAAACCAGATTTTGCCATTGGTTTCAAATGAAACTTTAAGAGCTGCAATCTCTAAGACTGTGGATTTTTATAAATTGACCCTAATGTTTTGAAATATGGAAAACCTAGCCGCTTAGAACTTTTGAACCCAAAACAAATTTTATGGAACTGTCTCTTTACATATTTCATCAATTCTGCATATAAAAGAGTTTTCGTCACAATTTTCCATTTTATTTGTGTTTCCGTCGGATTCCATTCATTCGCTCCTTCTTGTGTTTTTGTAGTCTACTTCAGAGTGGGGCAAACAGATTTTCATAAATACGAGTAGCTTAGATCTGATAAAAATGACTTTTTCGAAACGGAGTTCTGGTCAATGTTGTTGAAAGAAAGTATCTTCTTTGTAATTTTGATTCCCCTTTTTGCATGATTTTGTTCTTGAAGATAATTTTCTCGGATCCAGAAGTTAGTAATAACGGTGTCTCGTTAGACGTCCAACCATTGGCGGAATCGTTTAAAATGACTTTTTGTGTAATGTTTTTGATTTGATTTGTAAAACTAGATTTTTCGTCTTATTTTCCTCTGTCATGGTTTTTAATCACGGGTTTCTCCATTTTAATTCAAAAAATGAAATTGACTTTAAAAAGTTTAACGGGCTAGCTGAAACTACAATGAATTTTGGAATACGATTGAGTTTTTTTTCCAAGCCTATATTTACCATTATTTGTACTTGCAGAGAAGTCTTGTCGGAAATTGTACGACTTCCTAGTTTCGAGTAATACAAATTCGAAAAAAATCAACGAACACCCTTAACCGTACAATTTTCTGAGCGATGCAGATCAAGGTGAGAAAACTTAATCCCGTTATCTGCAAACTAAAAAAGTCCATCGGATATTCTCTGAGTAAACAAACGTTTTTAAGCATTGTGATGATTTCATTTTCATAGTCTGACCCGCATTGACGAAAGTGGATAAAAATCGATTATATACATAAAAAGCTACTGATTAACGTAAGTATATAAACGATTTATGTACAACCATTTTTCAAACAAAAATCGATTCTCTACAGATAGAATCCAGTTTTTTTTCACCAAAATCAAATGGGTTTAAGTGCCAAAATAATCGATTTTGTATTATGTAAAACCTTTATATAATCTGTAGATAATCTACATATAGTCAGTATATAATCTTTATGCAAAAAAACTGTATATAATCTGTAGATAATATGTAGATAATCTGTATATAATCTGTATGAAGTCTGTATCAAATTGATTATATTGCCTAAAAACTATAGGGGTTGTAAAAATTCCATTTTGACAATTCAAAATTAAATTGACAATTCAAAATTTGCAATCAGGAAAAGTTTTCCACAGTTTTATAGTGAATTGAACTCACTTGAGGAAAATTGGTTACCACAAACTACAAGTTTTAGGAGATCCCTCTAAGATTTTGCAATCTAAGGGTTTCCGCTGTAAGAAAAGTAATTTTGTGCAAAACGTCTTCAAATGCCATTTAAAAGATCAACGTAATCAGCGCGATTTTGTGATAAAACATCAATAAAAATTATAAAAATAAACATAGAGCAATTTACTTTCTGCTGCAACTTATTTACAGAATAAGAAAATTAAATTATTTTTCAGATCGAACATCAGTACGAAAAATTTAATAAATTGCCTACTTTATAATTTTATTTCAATATACTCATTCTATCTGATTGGCGAGAATGTTGAGAAAATCACTATATAATCTGTACAAAACATGTATATAGTCTTTATATAATCTGTATATAGTCTGTATATAATCTGTATATAATCAGTTTATGATCTGTAGATAATATATATAATCTGTTTATAGTATGCATAAAATTGGATACAGAAAAAACAGTTTTAGAGTGTTTTGGCGATGGTTATATAATGAATATGTACAGTATAAAACTTTTGCGAAAAAAAATGCATTGTAATTGATTGTTAAATTTACATAATCGAAGTTTTACTAAATAAAATTACAACAGATCTGAAATCTATATGTTTTCTATAGATAATCGATTTTTATCCGTTTTTGTCACTGCGGGGGCCCTGAATGTATTTTTTAATCTGCAAATGTCATAGCTTGACAAACAATTTCATTCCATTCCACAGAATTGTCTCACAAAGTTGTCTATTTCATTGAGGGGTTTAATTTTTGATCTACATATCTTCCTGAAGTGGTCTTTGGTTCTACAAACGTTTTCGCTCCCGGCAAACCATGAGGTGTGCTAAGTGAAGGGATTTCCGCATTTCACCACTGGTGGTCTGTACTATCAAAGTTGGTTCTATCTTGATTTGTCTGTGGAGCGGTTTTTTGAAATTTTGCCTCTGGGTTGTTGCTCTAGACATGGATGTTCATTTTGAGTAGTTTGGTAGTTTGCTCATTCCTTCTCTTCAATGATGGCTTGATTTACGGAGAGCAGTTTTTTTAGTTTTTTTTAGAGAGCAATTTTTTTTAGTTAACCAGCCATAGGCCTAGCTGGTGGAACCAGATCTAAACTAAAATTTATCATTGGTTATGATTATGATGTTTTATCTCTATAAAATATTAAATACTAACCAATCATACTCCATCAAATTAACCACCCATTTATTTGTAAGTGTTGAAACTACTTGTACTTTCAACACCAGAGCAATTTGAATTAAACTTAGAATACAGTTGTTCTCATTCTGGAACTAACTCGCTTAAACCGGTGTACACTAGATCTATTGAGACTAGGAGATATAAGAGTATGATTAAGATTGGTATTAGACTAAGAAGTTGCATGAATCTATCCGGCGGAAAATAAGATAGCAGATAGCGTGACGAGCAGACGGTGTACCTTATCTGAAATTACTCTATGAGTTATAACCAAAAGGATATAACTCATCTGGTGCAACCAAAAAGTCTCGAACAGACCTTAATTAACCTAGATTTAAAAAGAAAAGATTAGAATTAGACAAATACATTATTTAAAAAATGTTATATGACAAAAATTCAGTAGAAATGTCTCCACGACTCAATAGATCAGAGCCAAGTTTCCGAACAATACGAGAACTACCCGGTATTGGAAGAAGACCTCGGACAAGAGACGACGTACGACTAGGAAGAAATCTACCAATCAATTTCATGATTGTACGACAAAAACGAGATCAAACTTTTTTATTTAGAATATTTCCAGCAGTCAATTTAAATTTTCATTTACTGACATAAAATTTTGAAGAAACATCTTCAATAACCTTTCATGGCGCTAAACCTAGTAATTATACATTAACGATTCATAAAAACAACTCTAGTCGTTCTCCTTAAAAATTTCGAGTATTAAAAACATCTAGGAAAAAATATCTATTAAATATAAAATACAAAAATTAGTTAGTATAAAGCATAATTGTTAGTATATATAAATCATCCTTTCATCCCAGCTTCATCACCTAAAACATAACAGCAAATCTCAAAACATTAACATCATCAAAACCAAACACTTAACCTTTTCTTCACT